AGAGCTATATCTGATTTAGAAAGATTTGATGGAGGAATAGGTGAGTTGAATCACTTTCTAAAGGGAGGCGATCGGGTGATATCGCGTATAGCGGCTAAAGAAGGGGAGAACTTAATAGATCCACTGGATGCCAACGCATTGAGGGCAGCCTTGGTATGCCGGGTTAAGAGGAGCGTGCTGAATATGATTCAGGCGGATGAAGACACCCCATGGAGCACCGTGAAGGATAGGCTGAAGAAGGCATTTGGAGGAGGCTGCTGGGCTCCAGAAGAAGACATCTTGCAGATGTTTCGAGAGAAGAAACAGCCGTATCAGACCAACGGACAATATGCCGCAAACCTGTTGGCACGATTCAATAATGTAACTGAGAAGACGAGGGAAGTAGCGGGTGCGGCGGAAACAGGAGCAAGAATGGCGTTCTTGTCAACCATCCTTAAAGTTCAGCTGGGTAGAGATACGGGAAAGAGGGACGGACTACCTAGAGACAAGAGTTTTGTGGAGTGTGCCCAGGAGATGATTGATGCAAGCGCGCGGGAGGAAGAAGCAGCCAGGGGAGAAGAGGAGAATGAGAATGGGTGGAACCGAGTATCGTACAGGAGAGCAGAAACCGGAAGATTTAAAACGAGACAGGAAGGGTGGAAGAAAAGAGGAGGAGAAGTTAGTCCAAGAGAAAGAACGGCAATGAGGGAGAAAAAGCCAGGAAAGGAGAGAAGGAAATGGACAAAGGAGGACAGGAGATGCCACGGGTGCGGAAAGATAGGTCATCTAGTGGCGAATTGCCCGCGAACCCGATGTTTCGAATGCGGAACTGAGGGGCACATTGCCAGACAATGCCCGTATATGAGTAGACGGGGAGAAGTGGGCCGAGATGAGCCGATGGAAGTGAACGCCCAGAGATTGTGCAGGAAGAGAGGAGCGGCATCGGAGTCGGATGATTCGTCGGGAACATCTGGAACCGAGGAGGAGGAGCCGGTGGTAAGAGGAGCTCGAGGAAGCAGAATTAGCAGAAAGAGTGGAGAAGGGGGAGCCATCGCGGACAGGAGAGGAAGATCAGACGAATGAGGAGAGGAGCAGAGGGGAGGCAGCCACGCGGTAGTAAATAATATTGGAGGTGAGTGCGTTGGTTTTCCAATTATAAGTGTTGTGGGGAAGGGAAAGTGTCTGGTGGATACGGGAAGTTCTAATACAATAGTATCTAGACAGATGTTGGAGGAGTTGTGTAAAGGAGAGAGGATACCGAGAATAAAAAAATGTACGTGTAGGTTGATTACTTTGGGTGGTCCATGTAGGATAGAAGGGGAAGTAGAATTAGATTTAGACAAATGGGTAACAGGAAGTGGGAAGTTGAGGGTTCATGTAGTAGAGAATATGCCGAGGGAATACGGGGGTATAATAGGATGTGACCTATTGAGTAGAGTGAGACCAAGAATAGATTACAGGGGAACGGGTTGGAGGGTGCGAATGGGAGGGAAGAGGTACCGGTGTAAGAAAGGGAGAGTGGGAGAAAAAGGGAACATTGGGGCAATAGAACAAGCGGAACATTGGGTACAAAGGATAAAGAGGGAATACGCGGATATTTTTTTTAAAGAGGGGGAGGTGTTGAGCGCAACGGGGAGGACGGCACATGAGATTCCGTTAAAACAGGAAAAGGTGACGTACGTGAAGGAGCGACGTTACCCACAGGCTTTATGTCGCCATATCAAGGAGGAGCTAGAAAGTTTGAAGAAGCAGGGCATCATCGTGGACAGCACGTCACCATACAATAGTCCCCTGTGGGCGGTGAAGAAAAAGACGTCGTCGGGAGAACAGAAGTACAGAGTGATGGTGGACTTCAGAAAGCTCAATGACAACATCCTAGACGAGAAGTACCCGCTTCCGCGATTTGATGATATTATTGACAGGCTTAGTGGGGCAACCATTTTTAGTACTTTGGATTTAAAGGCGGGCTACCACCAAATTCGTATGAACCCCAGGGATCAACACAAAACGTTTTCTTTCGAGAGGTGGCATTACGAGTTTACTCGGATGCCATTTGGTTTAAAGAACGCTCCCATAACTTTCCAGAGATTTATGGACGAATTCTTGAGGGGATTAGACGAAGAATTCTGTCAAGTATACATGGACGATCTGTTGGTCTTTAGCAAGGATGAAGAGCAGCACGTTGATCATTTGGGGCGCGTATTCGACAGATTAGGGCAATTTGGGTTGAAATTATCAGCGGAAAAGTCGATTTTGGGACAGGACCAGATAACCTTTTTGGGACATTCCATTTCGAAGGAGGGGATCAGGCCCGATAAACAGAAGGTCGAGGCAATACAAAATATGGCGATGCCCAGGGATGTAAAAGGTATCCGCAGGTTATTGGGAACACTAAACTATTACCGTCGGTGCGTGCCGGAAATGGCGGAGTATTTAGCACCTCTTAATAACCTTCTGAAGAAAGGCCGGAACAACCGGTAGCATATGCAAGTCGGCGGCTTAAAGACGCGGAAACGCGGTATAGCGCCCTGGAGAGGGAACTCTTGGGCATAGTATGGGCAGTAGGACATTTTAGGCCATATATTTTTGGCAGAAAATTTAAAGTTCATACCGATCACAGACCGCTGCAATGGGTTGGTAATCTGAAGGAATCGTCAGCAAGGGTCACTCGGTGGAAGCAATTTTTAAGCCAGTACAATATGGAGGTCATGTACAAGCCGGCTAAGGAAAATGTGGTAGCGGACTGGCTGTCCAGAGCCATCATGATAAATGCCATCGAGGAGGAAGAAGGGGAGTCGTCGAGGGACGTGCGGCAGTTTTTGAGAGCGTGGACACCGGAAGGTGAAGGGGAACCCGGGGATGCGAGAACAGAGGAATCAAGAGGAGAAGAGAGCTCGGTGGACGAAAGGCCTACAGACATGGAAGAATGTGAGGAGATCATCAATGATAAGCGACGACAGGTCATTTGGAAGACCAGAACGTCGGGGCTTATGAAGATCGACTTCAGTAAATATGGCAAGAAGAAAATTAACACCATTTGGTCACAACCAGGGGTGAAAGAAGAAGAGATTTGTAAGGCCTTGCACGACGCTTCAGAGTCGGGAAAAATTTACCATTTGTACGTGGGCAATGCGACCGTCTGGGAAAAGATCAAAAAACTCTGGAGAGCAGAGAAAATAGGCGTCGATAGATCGTTCATTAAATGCAAATACCTAGTTGAAACGTTGATGGACAGGGAGCAGCAAAAGGAGGTAACACTGGCACATCACAAGGGCAAGACCAACCATCGGGGAGAACAAGAGACGTTTCAAGCGTTGCGCAGAAGATATTTCTGGGATGGCATGAGAAAGACAATTTCAGAAATCATTGGGAGATGCGAAGTGTGGGCGCGCACTAAGTACGATAGACGGCCACCTCAAGGATTACAGGAGGAAACCCCTACGGGAGACATGCCATTGAAAGATATGCAAATCGATGCATTTACGTGGAGGGGGTTTAAGTGGATTACAATGATCGACCTCTTCAGCAAGGTAGCGATGACACATCAAGTACGAGATAAGTTGTCGGAGGCGGTTGTGGGGGCTCTACAAACGTGGGCCCAGTTCTACGGAGTGCCTGATCGCATAACGTCGGACGGAGGGAGGGAGTTCGACAACAGTACCGTACGTAAGGAGGTTAAACGATTAGATATAGATTGGCACTTTAATACTCCGGGACATACAAAGGGCAGAGGAAATATTGAGAGGTTGCACAGCACTTTAAGCGACCACCTACGTATTTATCAAGGGGAGCAGGGATTGGAAGGGGATGTAGCCATGAAAAGAGCAGTAGCGGCCTATAATCATTCAATCCACTCCGTTACAGGGCTTTCTCCGGTCGAGGTATTGTTTGGAGTAAATATACGGCGACGGGATTGGATGGAAACACTCACGGACGAAGCACAAGCTCAACGGATCACTTGTAACAGAGCAGAGATAAAGAAAGTGTGGGAAAAAACGAGAGGGAAAATAGAGAGGGAAAAACGGAAAAGGGTGGAGAAGGTCAATTTGAACCTCAAGGACAGAATGGGGGAATTGAAGATAGGGACGACAGTCTATCGTAGGGTAGGTTCTAATAGGGGGAAAGAACTGGCACGCTACGAAGGACCATTCAAAGTGATTATACTTCGCGAACACAATCTTTGTACAATTCAGAGTCTGAACGATCCCAGGAAACGGAGGACCGTTCACATAGAACAGTTGAAACTCCCGATAGAGCCGGGTCAGTAACGTAAATAAGTGGTATATCCTCTTTTCTGTCTCCTACAAGCTATGGAAGCACGGTAGAAGGTTTATTTCAGTTGTAGCTCTTTTATTGCAAGAAAATGTTTAATTTTGTTTGTTCTGTACTATGGCTGTATGGGAACGCCAAGGAAGATTATTTTGTTTTGTTGTTTTGTTTTGTTATGTATTATATCAGTAACCCTGCGTTAGTTTATGAGGAGTGTTCATAAACTGGCGGGGGGGAGTTATGGTTAGATGTAAGTTGATATATTATTTAATCCTATTCAACAGTTGTAAACAAACCGTAATGCTATATATATAGCATTACGGAGAGAATAAGGTCAGTCTTATTTGAGCAACCACGTGTTTTATTTCGGACCTTTCTTTCTTTTTTTTATCTTTTCTTGTTCGAACAGACGTAAGTTATATATATATATATATAAATAGCTACATATATTGTAGCTAAAATCGCAGAAGTCACACAGTTCGAGTGTATCTCTACTCTTTGTGTTGGCGAATTAAGCGAGTTTTGACGAATTTGACGCACAGTTCTCTTCGATTTTTCTCGCCTCGTGAGCGGATGGCCTAAAAGATCTCGGAATACCCCAGAATATATCAACATCCCCGGGAAATCAAGAAGAAATCGTTACCAAAGTTATCAAGTTCCTGGATGGTGAAAGGTTTAAAAAACATATATGACAAGCTTATAATTAATGATCCTTTGCAGATTTATTATTATTAATATTTTAAGTTTATTGATTTCAATTAATTTATTGATTTTACTGCTATTTTTTAAAAGTTTATTTATTTATCTATTCTATCTTACTATCTATAAGCGTCTATTATTATTATTTTTTATTTACTTTATTCTACCAATCCATTTTTTTATTTTTTTGTACCAACCATCGAAACAGTATAAAGTGGTGTTATTTAGTTGATCGGGCGCTTATGACCTGTATGGTTTGCGCATAGACATCGAAACAAACAAACTATTCTGGTTATACCTATCGATGTATTTTTATATCGATCTATCAATAATATTGCATGCATTGTGATACACTGTGTTGCTGATTATGCTTGTGGGGAATATGTTCTTTTAAGATTGAAGAATTGCGTTCGTTTAATTCGTGTTAATGGTGCTGCAGAGGGTCAGTAGTATAACGTTTTATTATGGCTGAAAAGAATACAAAAAACGAAATTATGAGAATGCTTCTTTCAACACCTAATCCTCCAAAAGTTTGTTTTGTTTTGCATTATTTTATCACTTACATTATGTTTTGTTTCTCATTTATGTACTCCTGCTTAATGTTTGTAAAAACGGTTTTTTTTTTCACAAATTAAATTTTTGAGTGTTTGTGGTCGTTATTCAATTTGACTGTATTAGTTAAATTGTTTGTTTACAGATCATACCCAGAGGTAAAATGGATAAAATTAAAAGCAGCGATAGTGATGGAGAATGTGGTGCCAAGTTGTCCAATTATCTCCAACACTTAACTGGACAGGTATTTAATTGTTGATTTTTATACTCTTAAGTACCCTAGAAAAATATGATTTGGTCTTAGTGAGTTAGGTTGACCAATCTATTTTTGAAAGAGGATTATTACTGTCACTTAGGTATGGCAGTCAGCCATGGTCACAATTGATTATACCTTACATGGAGTTCCGAAAGTAGCCAGTATGTTCGTTGCCATAGTCCGGTTGCTCCACATTTTAAAATTGTTAGGATTTTTTTTTCTTACAGAAATACAATTTCACATAGGGCAAGTTCTTAAGCTCAGTGTTAAAATCATGAATGTCTTTGTTTTAAGTGAGATCTGATGCCATTGATGTGCTCAGTACTGATTTTCGGAACTGGTCTATATATTTGGGTTTGATTACATTATGTTACATATCTTTTAAAGAGAGGTTAATTGGAAGTTTTGTTAGTTATTAAAACCATTATTGCTTTAATTAGATAATGACTATCAGACTTACCCATCAACAATTAATTTCCTTATCAGTTGAGCTGTATCCTTTTTGGAATTTGTTGGTGTTAATGATTCATCTTAAACCTTGACCCCCTGAACTCAACATGAGCTGAAAAGGTTCTGTTTAGAACTTGCGTATATCTCAAGTGAATGGAAGTGTGGCAATCATAACCTATTCAAAGAGATGTGATAATTTTATTAATCAGGGATCAGTTTCCTCTCTACTTATGGACCCAATTGCCTACTTTCGAAATTCCATGCAATATGTGGTTGATGTGATCTTGGCCCACCAGTTCATCCAAGAGTAGATATAGATGATTGCGGAGTGTTTTGAAGCATAAACTAGCTGAAACTGGTTTGAACTTTCTGTTGTGGCTAGGGATGCGCAATTCCAATTACAGGTTGGAACGGGACAGAATGTTCCACCACTGGAATTCGTTCCGTTCTGATCTTAGCTCTGAACAACACTTGAAGTGAGAGAGAACGATGGTGCAAATTTGTGTAATACTAAAACTATTTAAAACAGAAAAATCATTGAGGCATATTAAATTAAGATAAACGGAGACGAGTACAGTTTTAACAGAAATACACGTTTTGAAGTCTTCTAAGTCCAAATAACCAAGTCCCGAAAAATGGTCTGTGCGTATGTGAACACTCTAGCTCGAAACCACAAAGTTGTACGAAAGTGATATAACCTATGTAATATTTAAGATATATAACTTCTGAAAGAATTTGATAATTAAGTAAAGGAGAAAAAAATAAAAATACTTATCCAGGTCGAAATTGAATCTCCAGAAATACTGGTCAGAAGATATATCCTTGGATATAACAGTAATATATCGTTGGAAGCGAAAAAATTTTAGAAAAGACAATATCTAATATAGAAAGTTGTAGAAGGTAACAAAGAGTGGCAAAAAATATATAAATAATAACATGTTTTCAAGGAAATTAAATAAAATTCTCTTACTAAATGTAAACTTTTATAATTTTGTTTGAAAAAGTATTTAAAATCCACGGATTCAAGGCAATGACATTGTTTAAGATGCTATTTCAGGGATACGTTTATAACCTTAAATATATTTACTGTAGTTTAATAACTCTAGATCTGACATATTTAAATAATTAGGTATCTATCGTCCGTTTATTCCGAAAAATCATGTAACCTTTTTTAAAGTTAAATTAGAGAATAATTTGATAAATTTTTCCTTTGCGATATTCCAACAGAATCCACTTACAATTAGTGTGACAACTTTTGACCTGTCTATGACAGACAATGCAAATCTCTTAATTCCGTTTTAATAAACTTTGCAATGGAAAATAACAGTTTAATAACTAATAATCTTACAATCCATAATCAACGGATCGTACAATCCATAATGAACCGGTGATGTAATAAATAGGACTTTTATTATTTTAATAGTATTTATGATTTTTTTAGCTGTAATCTTTTAGCTTTAGCTCAGTTAAAAATGCAACTCAAAAATTTTATAATAGCCCAACATTTCCAGAAAATAATTTCTTTTCAAAGTTGTGTGTTGTGCTCACCAAATTTTTTATTATACACAATTTAATTAATTTAAGACTTATTAATTTAAATAAAATTAACAACACAAGTAGACACTTTAATCCGTATCATAGTTATTTCCAACGGATGCTAGAATGAAATCTGAGGTTGAAACGAAAACAAAGTGTAATGAAACCTATAAGCGTTCACGTTCCGATTAAATGAAATTACAAAGCTCTTTGGAACGAAAAAAACCATTCCAGTCGGAACTGTTCCAGAAGTGGAATTCAAGGCCACTCAGAATTGGAAATCCTGTTCCAGTCAGAGGTTTCCTCGAACACCAGTTCAAGAAATTTTTACTACGACTAATGAGACTGTTAATTCTGTTTCTTCTTTGTTCTTCCATTGGAATATAACTTACCAATAAAGTAAAAATAAGGTAATAATAATAAAAAAAGCCAATATTTAATAAAAATCAATATTTGTTTTAAATTTCAAAAATGGTGAAACTAGGGATGCCCATCTCCCCCAAGGTCTATGGTGCACCTCTTCCCTCCCAAAATATTTGACTGCTCACCATTTCTTAAAAACAGTTCAAGTAAAAGTAGAGTTATTAATATTAAATAATAATACTCTACCTGCAGTCTGTTCTATGCTGCCCCTGGCCTTTTTGTTTAAAACTTTTCATTCTGAAAATTCATAACCCTGCCAAAATATGCTCCCCTTCAAAATTCAAAATCCTGTCCAAATTTGCCTCCTCAAAAATTTTTAAGGCGTAACTTAAGCCATTATAATACCCCCTTCTGGGCACCTCTGTTTTAAACAATATTGATATCTCTCTTGACTTAGAGGTTGCTTAAAAAGGTAATATAAAATAAAATGCGAAATCTTAAGTTTTCAAAATCCAAGTAATCTGTGAAAAAACACAAAGACGGCAGGTAATATAAACAAACTCAAATAAAATAAGTAAAAAAATAACAAAATCTTTCAATAAGCCATGAGTTAAGTAATGTAGTTATTTTAAAAACTAACAAGATAACAAAATCTCAAATTTTTAATCGAAATACCCACACTTAAAGATAAAACGAAATAATATTGTTTTCTGAATTAGTATCAAGTAAACAATCATTATATTACAATTCAAAATTGTGAAATTATTATTATTTTTTAACAGTAAAATATGAGAAAACTGAAGCAAGTTCTCCAAAACAATAAGAGGGAAAAAATTAAGTACTATTTTATCATTTTCCTAGAAACTTAATAGCTTTCAGTGGTGTAACTCCAAATAAAAAATAAAATAAAAATGAAGTATTATTAAAAATAATAATAAAGGCTTAGCGAACCCAAAGGTTCGATGCCGACACTACCAATCACTTATTACACACCTCCCTCCACCGTTCGCCGTCCAAACCTAGTCCCTTTAGGTCGCCTTTAATGCAATCTTCTCACCTTCGCTTCGGTCTACCCCTCAGACGTTTACTATTCGGTATAGCAAATATTAATCTTTTAGGAATTCTCTCGTTACTAAGCCCAACAATTTTACAAGCCCATTTGATTCGCCGGGATGAAATCACCTCAATTATATTACCCAGATACAATTCACGCAATTTGGCATTGTGTAACCATCTGAACTCTCCGGTTAATTCATGCTTCTTCTGTCCGAATATTCTACGCAATACTTTATTTTATAAAACCTTAAGACGTTGCTCATCCGTTAATGTAAGCGGCCACATTTCACAACCATAAAGAACTGTAGGTAAGACAATGATTTTATAGATTCTAATTTTTAAGTTGCGGGACAAGAAGCGCGAGCTAAATAGTTTTGTCACAGAAAAATAACAAGCATTTCCCGCCTTCAGTCTAACCTTAATCTCTTCTTCAATTTCGTTTTTTCTAGTTATCATAGACCCTAGATATATAAACTTCTCTACCTGTTCATATACCTTTGGAAAAATTAAGTATTATAAAAGAACAGGAAACATATAACAGGAAATTACGATATATTTTCAACCATCTATAAATTTATGATAAACATTTACAGAAGTACTACAACAGTATGGCTTCCAGAAAGTTAAAGTGAAATTCCCTGACTTTTTCCTATTTAAAGATAGTTTTCCCTAACCATTATGTCTGAGAACACAAATATTAATAATATATAATTTTTAACTAACTTCTATTTAATATATCTACGACAGTCAACTATCAATCTACTATTATAACTAAATTTATTTGCTACTTGTTAAATAGCCGGTAGGGTGCGACTGCTATCTGCCAATGTTTATGATCTGAAACTGATAATTCTTATAAGGCACTGATAATATCTTCGTATTAATATTTATTGTATTATATTCATATTATTAAAATCTGATTGATATTCATATTATTACATTTTCGTATTCATATTTATTTTATTATATTCATATTATTGTAATTGTTAACAAAAGAAAAACACATGTAATAATAAAAAACTTTTATTTTACAAGATATATATATTAAATAGACCAAAACATTATACATATATAATGTAAGAACATTACGAAAACATTACAACATATATATAAAAATAAATGAAATAATAAAAATAGACAAAAATAAATGAAATAATAAAAAAAACACTTAAACAACATATGTAGATATAAAAGAAACACTATTAAGACTATAAAGAACATATGTACATATAAAAGAAACAATATAAACAATTTGTCTTCCCGTCGAACTTCATTTCATGATGTTCATCACAATATTTCACCTTTGCAATTATCCCGGTGTCTTGAAAATATTTGATAGCATCTTCTTCTGAAGACGGCAACTTGAACAATGTAACAACATCCATAATTTTATGAAAGTAACACTAACTCATAGCTTACATGAGGAACAAAAAATAAACAATGGAATAACTTAGGTTATATGAGATAAGAAGGGAGGTTATGTGATATAAGATTAGATAACAAGGAAGGTTTCGACCCTACCAGCTACTTAACAAGTACCATTTCATATGATCATATGGTGTCATAGTGCATGCATAGGTTAT